GGCTGATTATGTTTCAGCAGATCACTGATTACTTCCCTTCCAATCTCATTTTCCCATGCCTGAAATTACCCTGCTTCTTTATCCCATAAACATCGCCAAACATTGGCATCAGAGAGGTGGATTTGAAACTGGGGTCTCCTGTCACCTCACACCTGTGCACCTCAGAAATATTCTTCTCAGTGATAAAATTTGTTTCAGTGATAGACACACTGCAGTGGGCAAAACAGGCGACATTCTCACCAAAGGGCCTCGTAGATATAAGCTGTCACTAGAGTAGGGTGATTCGAGCCAGGATGGTAGCATCTGGGATGAAACAGTTTCCCACAAATGCTCTGACTTTCATACAGTTCCCAGTGGACTTCATTCTGGCACAGAACCTCAGTGGTACACAAGGCTATGCCTCCTGTGTGTTGATGGAGATATAGCCAGTCAAGATCCTTATGCCTGGTCACTGTCCTTCGTTCTCTGGGCCACTTTTGAGTAATTTGGTAGCTCTTGAGAGTTGTTCTTAGAACTATGCTGAGCTGGGTTTCATGGTACATCCCTATAATCCCAGAGACTTGGGAGGTTGAGGCAGGAGGTTTGCAGGTTTGAGGCCAGCCTCAGCAATTTAGTGAAAGTCTACAGAACTTAGTGAGACCCTCTCTGAAAATAAAAAATAAAAAGAGCTGGGGACATAGCTTAGTGGTTAAGTAACCCCTTGGGTTCAATTCCCAATATCAAAAAACCAACCAACAAACTTGAACCCTACACATACAATACAGGGTTGAGTTCAATGTTGGAGGGCATTAGATCTGTTCCATAACCCCCATATGCAGATCACAGATTTGGCAGAAACAATACTGGCAACTGAATAGCAACACTGCTGTATAAGTATCTCCTTTTTCCTTTTTCTTGTACTGGGGATTAAACCCAGGTGTGCTGAACTCTATCTCCAGTCCTTTTGATTTTCAAATAGGGTCTTACCAAGTTGCCAAAGCTGGCCTCAAATTTTCTTTTTTAAAACATTTTTTTTGGTTGTAGATGGTCACAACACCTTTATTTATTTATTTTTATGTGGTGCTGAGGATGGAACCCAGTGCCTCACAAGTGCAAAGCAAGTGCTCTCTACCACTGAGCTACAACCCCAGCTCTGGCCTCAAATTTTCAATCATCTTGCTGGGATTACGGGCATGTACCACTGCACCCAGCTGTGTCTTCTTATCCAACTGAGCATATAATTTTTTCTTTTGTTTTAATTGGTGTGTTTTAATTATACACAATAGTGGGGCTCATTATGGCATATTTGCACATGTACATAACACAGTTTGGTCAATTTCATTCACACATAACTGTTTGTGAGTCAGTAACTTCACTAGTTCCTTTAAGCAAATACAGCTTTACTTCATAAAAAAATTTTGAAATTTCATCAGCTGGAAAGAACTTCAGTACAAACAGAGGATGCATTTTTAAACTCAAGTTGTTGTCATGGCAATCACTTCCCGGGACAGGATTACTATCCCATTAGAGAGCTTTCTCCAATGTCGAAACTGAGGTTTGGGGAATTTCAGCAGTCAGGATTTCCACATTCAGGATTATAATCTTTCAAAATAGTGATTTCAGGATTTTATACCTTAGGGATTGCAACATTCAGGATTCTGGTGTTCGGGATTATGATCAACACTGGATACAAGACCTTCTCACTTAGATTCCTGTGTGGTAAGATCTGTGACACACCAAATTAAAAGAAGGCATAAAAGAAAAACAAGAGAATCTACCTAAGATGATTCTATTAATGATAGTGTTTATGTCTAAGTGTGTGGAAATAAAGTTATAGAAGGATTTGTAACAAAAACTGTCATTTTCTAATTCACTATTTGTTATTCCTTTAGATACAGAATTCCACATTTTTTCAAACTGAAAATGTGCACAGCAAAATCATTACATTTACCAGCTTTCCTTCTGGATAACTGTAGCTTTTTATGTAAATTTTGACCAATGATGTCTTGAGTAGAATTTGTTGGGTGAATCTCCCACAGAGGATCCTTAAAAGGAGACAAATGGAACCCAACCTTTTATTCTTTCCCCTTCCTGGAAACGTAATAACACGGCTGGTACTTTAGAAGTTTTAACAGATCATGAGGCAGCTATGGGGATAGAGGAGTTTGTATCTTTTCTTTTTGATTTTTTTTTTAAGTCTTTTTGGTCCTGGTGATTGAACCTGTGGGGGCTTTTACCACTGATACACACACCCAGTCCCCCATCTTTTTTTTTTTTTTTTGTGGTGCTGGGGATTAAACCCAATGTCTTGTGCATGTGAGGCAAGCACTCTACCAACTGAGCTATTCCCCAGCCCCCACAGCCAGCCCATTTTATTCTGAGACAAAGTCTCACTAAGTTGCCCAGGCTGGCCTTAAACTTGAGATCCTCCAGCCTTAGCCTCCTGAGTTGCTGGGATTTCAGGTGTGTGTCATTACACCTAGTGAGCTTGTATCCTTGATGACATCACTGAACTGTCTACCCCAGACCTTGTATACGTGAGGGAATATACTCTTTTGTGTTTAAGACACTGCAACTGGCTGTTACTGGGATGTGAATGCAATTTACAGCTGGCTTAAAATTTCATCTCAACCCACACTGGTTGCCTGCTCCCATCAATACATATACTATAGGGGTCTCACAATGGCTGTGAAGTAGCCTGAGGAAGTTTCTCTGAGGGAAGTGCATACTCATGGTGACCTGACGTTGCAGAGGATGTCATGAGCTGCCTGGAGTAAGAGCACAGAACCCAGTCAACAGTCATATAACTCCCTGGGCCATTTGAATGGGGTATGTGTGGGGGGGTACTCCTTTCAGTGGCCATCTAAAAAAGAAAAAGAAGCCTTTTTATTAGGTGTGGTATACAAAGATAACAATCAACTTCTCTTTATCTCCCACCCCCAACCACCTTGGTCTCAGTGCTTGGTGTTCCAGAGGTTGGCGTGGTCTTCTGAAAGGATGGAGCTGAGGCAGTTAATTATGTTAGATATACTTCTTTTTGCTGTTGTCACTCCCCCTGTCCCCAACATTTGTTGCTTGTTCAAAAGGACATATCCTAGGAGTCAGTTAGTCTCAAAGTAGCATATCTCTACAGACAAGAAGTGCACAAATATAGCCTGACCACTCTCTCCTTGTGTGACATTCTGTTCTGACTAGATCAAGCCCCTTCATTACAGTGCCCAACCCATCACTGAATTCTGTTGTTTCACCCTTCAAAATGTTGTTTCTCCCCAAAGTTCCCATAGCTAGTACTCTAAAAATGGATCCTAGTACTTCTTTCTGGGATTAACACAACAGCTTTCTAAGTAGCCTGGCCCTCATATCAATGCCAGACTGCCTTGCCTGAAAAACTACTTTCGATGTCTTACCTCAGCTAACAGATGTCTCAGCTTCCCTTTACCAATCTTATAAAATCCATGCTCTTCTGGGTTTTAGAGAAAATACATAATGAGGGCCCAACCTGAATTTCCTCCTTCACCCCAACATATGCCCTGAGTTTCATTTTCCTGCCATCTGTAAACAACCTCAGCCCTTCCTGGAAGTTCCTCTTTGCCTGACGGGAAACCTAGTCATCCTTAGGCTGCAAAGGGTGTGGAAGAAAACAACAGAAACTCTGCTCCACACCCACCTTTTTTTTTTGAGAGGGGTCTGGCTGTGTTGCCTAGGCTGGTCTCCAAACTTGTGGACTCAAGTGATCCTCCCATCTCAGCTACTGTGTAGCTGGGACTATAGCCAGCGTCATCACTCCTAGCTTTGCTTCTTTTGATATTATTCTATTCAGTAAAGACCCAAATCATGTCAAAGACAGCTTAGTGTTTTCCTAATTAACACAATTGAGGATATTTTTAAATTGTTGAGAAAACGTTTGATACAGCTTATTGGACTATAAAGCAGCATAGGAAAGATTTCCCTGTTGTCCATCTTTTATATTCTCCTGGGCAGTTGGTTCATAGAAGTCACTCTGAACAAATACATACAGCTTGACTGACTGGGCTGAGTAGTCATGAAGTATAAACTTCTGTGTTTTGGGTTCTAATTCCAACATTTTTTTTTGTAGTGGGGATTGAACCCAGGGATGCTCTACCACTAAGCTACATCCCCAGTCCTTTTTGTTTTGTATTTTGAGATACAGTCTCACTAGATCTCTCAGGCTGGGCGATTTGTGATCCACCTGCTTCAACCTCCAGAGGCCCTGGGATTAATGGCATTCTCCACCTTGTTGCCTCTAATCCCCGACTCTTACCTTATAAACCGTGGGACCACTACAAACTGCTTAATCTCAGTGACAATATTTCATTGTCGCCTGGAGTCGACAACATATACATTTACAGAGATAAATGCATGTAAATCTTGCAGTGCAGTCCATGGTAGACGTTCATAGCAGCACTACTGTCAGACAGCCAGCGGGATGGGGCTGGCCTGGCTTCTGGCCTGGTGAAGGCCTCAAGGCCAGTTTACTGGCAAAGCAAGGTCACTTAGGGCACCTGGCAAGAAGACAAAACATGAGGGCACTGTCCCTTCACCCTCCACTAACACGCTGGCTGCCTTCCAAGGGACGGTCCCTGGGGCCCTTAGGGAGAGAAAAAGTCCCCAAACCTTCCCAGGGCGGCTTCCAGAACCCGTGCGGCAGCAGCAGTACCACCGCGGCCTAGAGAGGGAGGGCTGCAGCGGGCCTCGCAGGCCCCGCCTTCGGAGGGGCGGAGACGAGGGAGGGCCTGCGGGCCATACCAATTCTACATCGGGGGGGGGGCGTGCGGCCTTCCCTCCGTTCCACGCACGGAGCGCAGGCAGATAGACAGCGGGGTGGTCACGACCGAGGAAAAGCTTGCCGCTCCCTCTTCCAGCCTCCTGGACGCAGGGTGTGAGGCCTGCGCGGGATGACGGGTCTCCGGCCGCCCTGGGTTCCCCCCGCGTTCCTCCTGTGGTGGACGCGGCCGGAGGGGGCGGGGCCCAGGCGGCGAAGGTTCTTATGTGCTGCCCGGGACCCCGTAGGCAAACGCTCGCTGGTCTGGTTCGGCGTTGCGTCTGAGAGGCTCTAAGTCGGCGGCCGACGGCGGAGAGCGCTATGTTGTGCCGGGCAGCGTGCAGGTGAGACGCGGGTTCCGGGGCCCGGGGCGCTCCGCCGGGGGCGGCAGGTGTCCGGTGCGGGCGTCGGGAGGCGGGCGCGGGGCGGGCCGCACGTGACCCGGGTGCCCTCTGTCTTCCAGCGCGGGCGCGAGGCTGGCCCCGGCCCTGGGGGCTCTGGGCTGCCGGCAGAAGCACAGCCTCCCCGACCTGCCTTACGACTACGGCGCCCTGGAGCCGCACATCAACGCCCAGATCATGGAGCTGCACCACAGCAAGCACCACGCGGCCTACGTGAACAACCTGAACGTCACGGAGGACAAGTACCGGGAGGCGCTGGCCAAGGGTGGGTGCCGGCGCCGCAGCCCCGCGCCGTCTCCGCACGGAGACCCCCCGCGTTCGCCCCGCACTAGGGCCGCCCCCAAATAATGATCCTCCCCATTGTAGAAGAGTGTCTTGTGTCTTGACTGGTTTGTTTAAACTTTTCTTACCGTCCCAGAAAACAGAATCCCACGAAGGAAGTTGTGGGTTTGACTGTGTTAAGCCCTTTTTTGTTACCCATATTGGTGAGTTGTAAAGGAAGCTCTAGCGCCTGTTTGCATATAAGCATTTAAAATTTGCACTCGTTATGTAATGTGCTCTTGGAAATGTTTGGTCTCTCAGGTAGGTTTGCCAATCATTAGCAGGAGGTCCGAGGGCACCCATACACTTGTGGCCCAGATGCAAGTTCTCTTGAGTGTTGGGGTCAGTCCTGAAAGGTGGGCTGGGGCTTTGCTGTCCCCACTTCCTCTCTGTGTCTGGGCCTCAAGTGGAGGAGGACAACCTCTCTCTGCCTCCTTTTTCAAGTGTATTGTAGCGTTAAGCAAGCAGTGTCAGGTGTGGTCCCTCTGATAGTGGGAGAAGGAAGGAGACTGCTAGGTGATAGGAACAGTGGTCCTTGACATCTTCTTGGAACTTCCTGAGAGTCCAATCTACGACTGGGAGATTCCTTGTATTCTGAGCTGCCCTGCACTGTGAAACTTGATTTACTTTATGCGGGAGACAAGAGGCAGGAGTCAGCATTATGATGTTCATTACCAAAAAGCACTTAACCTGGTTGTGAGACAGGTCAGGCCCCTGTGGACTTGGTTTCTGTATTTGATTTAGGGGCACAAGAAAAATAGTCATTCTGATTTAGAAAATTTGTAAATTGGATTAAAATATAATATGGAGATAACTTTTATTTTGGTACCAGGAATTGAACCCAGGGATGCTTAACCACTGAGCCACATCCCCAGCTCTTTTAATTTTTCACTTTGAGACAAGGTCTTACTAAGTTGTTTAGGGCTTCATTAAGTTGCTGAGGCTGGCTTTGAACTTGTAATCCTCCTGTCTCAGCCTCCTAGGCTTCATTAAGTTGCTGAGGCTGACTTTGAACTTGTAATCCTCCTGTCTCAGCCTCCTAAATCACTGGGATTATAGGCACCTGGTTGTTTTTTTCTTTTCTTTTTACGTGCTGAGTTGATAAAAGCAGTAGTATGTGGATTTTTGTGTTTATGGCTCTGAAGGTGTATATGGGAATATCGTTTTAATATCTCTGTAAATAATATTTTGTGCTCCTTCCATTAGTTTGCACAACTGAAAAATAATTGATAGTTGTTTTCAGACTATATTGCTTGATAAACTACACAGTAAAGAAAATTTCCTTTTTTTCAAAAAAGTGTTTTTGTTGCATTTCAAGCCTATGAAATTTGTTAAGTAATTTTCAGAGTGACATTTGGTTGACGAGGGGCATCTAGTGGAAAGATGTAGTATTTCAGCCAAATTGTGTTTGAGGTAAATAAAAGGCTACACCTAAAGAGGAGGAAGTTACCACATTCTGGAAGATTTGCTTGCAACAGTTAGATGATTTGAATACGGGAAAAGGCTGTGATTTAGGAAATAACAAACGTGTGAGGGATGTGGTAATGGGGAAGCTGGGAAGCTCCCCGTTGTGAAAGTATTTCCAGCAAGGCAGCATCTGACACCTGGGAAACCGTCTTTCCAATATTTTAAAGACATCTTAGTTTTAATCCCTTTCTTGTGGAATCAAAGCTTTGCTTCCTTAGTGATATCACTGGAAAAAAAAAGTTGTTGTATTGCAGTATTATATTGCAGAGTTTCTTTTACATAGAAATTATATTTTTGAAATTATTATCAAGTAAATTTTCATATCTCTAATATTGTGATAAGAGTACAAATAAAATAACTTAATAATCTCATCATAACTGTCTTTTCAACCAAAAGTTCTTACCTTTTTTTATTGCATTTCAGGGGAAAACCCTGATCTGAAACAAAAAAAAAGTTAAACTTCAGAAAAGTCTTAAGAGCTTTAAATTGGCTAAGTAAACTTTAAGATGTTGAGATTATTATTTTTTGTTTTTTTGAGATACTGAGGATTAAGGGTATTGAACCCAGGGTTGGCATATACCAGGGAAGCACTGAGCTACTTCTCCAGCCCCCTTTTTTTTTTGGTACCAAAGATTGAACTCGGGCACTCTACCACTGGGTCACATTCCAAACCCTTTTTTGTATTTTATTTAGAGACAGGGTCTCACTGAGTTGCTTAGTGCCTGGCTTTTGCTGAGGCTGGCTTTGAATTCTTTATTCTCCTGCCTCAGCCTCCCGAGCTGCTGGGATTATAGGCCTGTACCACTGCGTTTAGCCCCCAGCCCTTTTTATTCTATTTTGAGACATGGTCTTGTTAAATTGCCCAGGCTAGCCTTGAATTTACAGTGCTTCAGCTTCAGCCTCCAAGTAGCCAGGGTTACATATGTGCATTACTTGCCCAGCTTAAAATGTTGAGTTTATTAGATTATCTCTTAGTAAACATGTTTCATTTTCATTTAGAAAAACAAGCTGAGCATCCTGGCCCATGCCTATAATCCCAGAGACTGGAGGCTGAGGCAGGAGGATAAAAAAATCTGAGGCTAGCCTCAGTAATTTAGTGAGAACCTCAAGAACTTACTGTTTAAGCACCCCTGGGTTTGATCCCTAGTACTGCAACAACAAAAAAGCAGAAAACCTGTATTTACATTTTTAGGGTGACTCCAAGGAAAATTAACAAGGGAAACACTGATTTATAAATATATTTTTATACATTTAAAAAAAATTATTTTATTTGAATATTTATTTTTTAGTTGTAGTTGGATACAATATCTTTATTTACTTATTTTTATGTGGTATTGAAGATCGAACCCAGGGCCTCTCATGTGCTAGGCGAGCGCTCTAGTGCTGAGCCACAACTCCAGCTTGCTAAACAAGTAGGTGAAATAAGTTTTCTGAAAGAAAATCCTAAGAGGTTATCTGTGGATTCAGATATCACTTAATCCTCTCCTTCTGAATTGCTAACAACTGGAGATTTGGCCTTGTTTCAGAAGATAGAATTTCTTAACTAGGTTCTTATTTCCAGCTTTCAGTACTGTGGGTTAAACTCTCCAGCACTTTTTTTTTTTTTTTATGTTTTATTTTGAGACAGGATCTTGCTAAGTTGCCCAGGCTGGCCTTCAATTTGTGATCCTCCTGCCTCAGCCTCTGAAGTCGCTGGAATGACAGGCATGCCCCCCCTTACCTGTACCTAGACGTTCAGAACAGGGGTTGAGAACTTTTTCTACAATTCCAGCTCCTGGAGAGCAGAGCTCCAGTGGTTCGCTTTCACTTTGCTTTTCTTGGTAATTTGAATAGTAAGAACTTGGTACATTTTGTACAGGGAATTTCTGTTTTCCCAATACTTCAGTTAATCTGTAGTTTCTAGAAGGAGCAAAAAAAAAACTTATTTCACCTACTTGTTTAGCAAGCTGGAGAAAAACCTTTTTGGTTTCAGTTTATTTTATCTAGTGTTTTGAGAATATATCCAGATTGTCCAAATATGACATTCTTTTTTGTTAAACTATAGGTTGGAGAAAGTTTTTTTTTTCCCTCAGAAATTGTACTCAAGGACTAGGGTTGTAGCTCAGTGGTAGAACACTTGCCTAGCATGTGTAAGGCACTGGGTTTGATCCTCAGCACCACATAAATATAAATAAAACAAAGGTATGCTAGTGCTGTGCACCAACTATAACTAAAAAAAAGAAAAAATTGTATTCAAGGTATTTTTTTCTTGCCATTTTTCTTTTTTTTTAAATTTTATTTATTTATTTTCATTACGTATTCAATGTATTTAATCATCTAGTGAATCAACAAATATTTATTGAGTGCCTGCTGTGTAGGTGGCAGTGGGTAGTGTGTTAGGAATTGATAACCGAAGTCATACACAAAAGCCACTGTGCCAGTGAGTTGGGAGACTGGGGCAGGAGGATCACAAGTTTGAGGCATGAAAATGGCCGAAGATATAGTTCAGTGGTAGAACACCCCTGGGTTCAATCCCCAGTACCAAAAACCAAACACAAAACAAAACCAAACTACCTCCTCCGCCGGGAGACAGATGAAGCAGTGTGCCAGGAGTTATACCGCCTTCTAGGAGAGATGGGATGCAGAGTCTGGAGGGGTGATGGGAACTGCCAACTTGCATATCCTGGCCAAAGTCTGGTGAGTGCTGTTTGGAGACATGAGAAGAGGCAGAGGGTGAAGCCTGAGCCCTCAGCTGGGAAGTGGTTCCAGCAGAGGCAGCAGTGGTCATCCTTGGCAGGGAGGGGGCATGCTGAGCTTGTCTTGGAAGGCTCCCCGGCCAGTGTGGCTGGCAAAGGGTCAGGTGACAGGTGACATGCCTCCTTACAGCTAGGTATAAGACTTGGGGCAAACGGGACTGTGGCTCCAAAGCAGGTGGGAGATGCTAGTGCTGTGCACCAACAGGTAGCAGCAGAGTTGGGGAGAAGGGATTGGATTCTGGATGTCTTTTTTGAGAGGGGTACTGGGGATTGAATCCAGCTTCCTCCCAGCCATTTTTATTTTTTAATTTTTGAGATAGGGTCTTTTTAGGTCATAGAGGCCGGCCTTGAACTTGCAATTCTGCTCTGGCTTCCAGAGTTGCTGCCATTACAGGCGTGCACCACTGTGTCCTTAAAGGAGAGCTGGCTTTGCTGATGGGTATCCTAGTGGATTGGGTGTAAGGTGTAAAAGGAGAGGAATTAAAGGTGACATCAATGTCCTGTGGAACAGCTGGCTTTCACTGAGATGGGGTCTGCCATAGGAGTAAGTTTGGGGTTGCAAATCAGGAGTTCAGTGTGAATAAGTTGAGTTTTTTGTTAATGTCACTTTAAAATGTTTCCCAATAGTTGTCTTGAAATGAGAGCTGAAAGTCTCCCTGTTGTAGGTACACTGAGCCGTGCATTTTAGCTCGTTTACTGTACTTTCTTTGCTCTCTTTAGTGTTTTATTTGCCAAAGTCTTTTTTATCCAAGAGAACCCCCAGCCTTTGGTGGTCAGGAGTGAATTTTCTCCTAGCTTTACCTTCTCTGCTGTGCTCACCAGTTCTGCATGTGATTAATTGAACTGAAAATCCACTGGGTGTATAATTTGGGGAGAGTCCGATTTTTGGTAGAATCTGAAATTGCTGAATTTTAGAACAAACAAGCTGGTACAATTATCTGCTAACTCACAAAGAAAAGAAAAAACATTGTTAGAGTGATTAAAGAATAAAAATGTTTTAAAAATGTGTTTGCTTTTTGACATTTCAGGAGATGTTACCGCTCAGGTAGCCCTTCAACCTGCACTGAAGTTCAATGGCGGAGGTCATATCAATCACACCATTTTCTGGACAAATTTGAGTCCTAATGGTGGTGGAGAACCCAAAGGTTGGTATATATTGGTTCACCTTATCTGTATATTTGTACAGTAGTAAAGATTGCTGATTTTTTTTTCCCCCCTTTGGTGCTGGGGATTGAAGCCAGGATCTCATGCATGCCAAGAGTATACCCTATTCCTGAGCTATATCCCCAGTGCATTGTTGATTTTCTTGTTACCATAATTCTCCCTAAAGTACCATACTGGCATATTTTTCATAGCAAGGGGCATAGCAGAGTTGTAACTTTCAAAGGGAAAGACTAGGAAAGGAGAATACATTCAGGTAGTTACGTCCTCAGTTTTTACACACTACAGTGCCCTTTCTTGGTTTAAATATTAGGGAAAGACTGAGAAACAGTTTTTGGAAAGGATTAACTTTCCACTTACTAGCCTGGGATGTCCAGGGTAAGATACTGTGTGAGACAGAGGGAATAATGGGGCTGTTTTCAAAACTAAATGTAAAGTGCTTAGAAAGGTGTCTGTGTCATTAATGTTCCTGTTATGAGGTCACTTGTCACAAAAAATTAGGTTTTCCAGGTGTTTTTAAAAAATTACAAATAGGGCTGAAGTAGGAGCTCAGTGGTAGAACACTTGCCTAGCATGTGTGAGACCCTGGGTTCAGGCTCAGCACTGCAAAAATTAAAAACAAAACAAAAACTGCTGCAGGTAACGAGGGGCACACAGAGCAGTGTCTGGTACACTGTCTTTGTCAGTGTGGCTGTCTGACTCATTATTCCACCCCCGCACCACCCCCAGCCTAAGGTGTGAAGCATAAGTACAGGTCTCTTGTTTTTTCAATACAAGAGTTTCTGGAAGCCATCAAATGTGACTTTGGTTCCTTTTAGAGTTTAAGGAGAAGCTGACAGCTGTCTCTGTTGGAGCCCATAAGTCTGGACTCCTTATACATACCCTAAGTTTCTGTGATTTTATTTTATTTTTTTTAAACATATATATATTTTAGTTGTAGACAGACACAACAACTTTATTTTATTTATTATTATTATTTTTTTATGTAGTGCTGAGGATCAAAACCAGTGCCTCACATGTGCTAGTCAAGTGCTCTACCACTGAGCCTCAGCCCTTACTGTTTGTTTTTAAACAGTGTTATCCAAGGCAGCTTATCTTATGCTTGCAAAGTTTCCTTTGGGGTGATATTAAAAGGGGGAATAAGTCTGGGAAAGTGGATAATTTATTTCTTCTGAATGAGGCCTTAGAATTGAGACTTAATGCTTTTGAGGTTTGTCAGCTACCAGAATATCAGATATACCTATATTCAACCAATGGTTTTGGCATTCTTTGCCATTTTGTATTATCTGTACCCTTTGATTCCATTTGCACTTATAAAAGATGATTACTTTTAAGCCAGTAGTCTATGAAAAGTGAGATATGACCCAGTTGATTTAGTTCATATGCTCAATATAGAATTGATTCTACAGTGCTACGGAATAAAAAGTTTATGGCTCTCTTTTCCATTTTTTGCAGTATAGTGGATAGAACTTCATGCATGCTGAGTAAGTGCTGTACTACTGAGCTACATCCCAGCCCAGTTATAGCTCTTAAAGTATACCTTTAATTCAGTAATAGAAGGGAAAATCACCCTGTTTAAAACAATCACGATAAGAAGATCAAGCCTGGCACAGTGGTGCATGCCTGTAATCCCAGTGACTCAGGAGGCTGAAGCAGGAGGAGAGATCTAGGATGCCTTGGAGAACTGAATAACAGCCATAACTTTTTTTTTAAATTTTGGTACTAAGGATTGATCTTGGGGGCAGTCAGCCCCTGAGCCACACTCCAGCCTTATTTTGTATTTTATTTAGAGACAGGGTCTCACTGGGTTGCTTAGCACCTCATTTTTGCTGAGGCTGGCTTTGAACCCGTGATCCTTCTGCTTCAGCCGCCCGAGCTGCTGGGATTACAGGTGTGTGCCACTGTGCCTGGCCAGCCATAACTTTTTATTCCCCAAGGGGGACATAGAGTAAGTAGGCTAGAAGTCAAAGTAAAATTTTCTATTGAGGGGGCAATGGAAAGTGAATTTATTCGCTGGTAGAAATAGCACAGTGAGGGGCTGGGGATGTGGCTCAAGTGGTAACGTGCTCGCCTGGCATGCATGGGGCACTGGGTTCAATCCTCGGCACCACATAAAAAAATAAAATAAAGATGTTGTGTCCACTGAAAACTAAAAAATAAATATTAAAAAAAATTATCTCTCTCTCTTTAAAAAAAAAAAAAAAAGAAAGAAAGAAATAGTTCAGTGAATAAAGAAATCCCTAATGGTATTAGACTAGCTTCACTAAGAACCATGTGGATCATAAGTGTGAAACTACATCCTGTTGTCAGCAGGAGGAAAGCTGGTGTGGTGTATGCTGGATTATGTTTTATCTTCTGTATTTTGTTTGTTTCTTGGGCCATGTGACAAGAATATTTTAATATACATAATATTTTATTGTAATTGTTGAAATCTGTTTGTGTTTTGGATCTTTTTTTATAGGAGAGTTGCTGGAAGCTATCAAACGTGACTTTGGTTCTTTTGACAAGTTTAAGGAGAAGCTGACAACTGTCTCTGCTGGTGTCCAGGGCTCAGGTTGGGGTTGGCTTGGTTTCAATAAGGAGCAGGGACGCTTGCAGATTGCTGCCTGTTCTAATCAGGATCCATTGCAAGGAACAACAGGTTAGATTTAAAAACTGCTACTTATTTCCTTTGGGAGATGTGATTTATGTAGGCATGTAACTAGGAATAAGGAAAACTAACAGTGTTTAAACTTACCATGAAAATATTATAGTTTAAACAAATCTTATACCCAGAGTCTTGAGTAGGTTAAAAAATGCTCCAAGAGTCTGCTATTTTGTAAAATATCACATGTAATTTTTATAGATACACTAACAATCATTTTAATCTAGATCCTACTTTGTTCTACAGAGAATCAGTATTAGTTTAATTACTTATATGCACTAAAATAAAAAACTGTAACTAGATGACAAGAGGGAAGCTCAAGTGGAGCGAGGCCCACATCTTTTCCAGTGCTCTCCCCTTTGCCAGAACTTTTGGTTAGGCTGGGGCGAGAACTCGAGTTTCCACACTCTACCTATCTGCTGGTCTTGGTATATGTAAGTATTTGACTTGGAAACTCTGGGCTGGACTCAGCAAATCCATTTTTTCTGTTGAGTCTAATTGAATTGGTAACCCCAAATAACATGTCATCCTGGAGAGGATAGGATACAGAGTCAGAAGTCATAGGCAGTCAGCTGGGGCTCTAAGCTGTGATGGAATGAATTTTACCTGATTTCTTAACATTAAGCAGCGGTAGTTCTCTGCCACCTTCCCCCTTGCACTCACCCGACTCACTTCCCTGACACGCTCAGATTTTGCTGGAATCTAAACAGTTCTTTTGGAAAAGTCCCCAAAGAATCAAAGAGTTGTGAGCCTGAAGGTTGCAGAGTCAGGTACAGCTCAAGGTGCCTGTTGGGAAGATTGGTTTCTGTGGATCTGAGCACAATGCTTCTTTCTCTCCTGCTTGGAGAAAGCCCATTGGATGATAAGGCATGACTTTTTACATATTGGGAAAAATCATGAAATTTTTTTGCTGCTTTTTTAATGATAAATTGATAGCAACACATCTCACAACTGGTCAAGACATACTGTTGAGAATTATTTTGGTAGAAGAGTTTGAGAGTTTTTTCCTTTTTAATTTGGTGCCTTATGGTTGTACCTAATGGTGGGATTTGTTAACATATTCATTCATGCACATAGTATAATAATATAATTTGGCCAATATATTCCCCAGTATTTTCCCTTTCCTCCTCCCTCCTTGGATCTCTTCCTCTATTGATCTCCCTTCAATTGTCGTGAGATCCCCCCATCTTTCTTTTCCTTCTTCCTCTCTAGCTTTTAGATCTGAGAGAAAACATATGACCCTTGACCCTTCTGAGTTTGGCTTATTTTCTTTAATATAAGGTTCTGAAGTTTCATCTATTTTCCTGTAAATGATAATTTTTTTTATGACTGAATAAAACTCCATTTATTTATATGTTTGTTTTTAGTTGTAGGTGGACACAATACCTTTATTTTTAATTTTTTTTGGTGGAATCTTTGGGGAATACCTTTATTTTATTTATTTATATGTGGTGCTAAGGATCAAATCTAGGGCCTCACACATACTAGGCGAGCACTACTGCTTAGCCACAACCCCAGCCCCCATTTTTTGTATATACCACATTTTATTTATCCACTGGTGGACACCTAGGCTGGTTCCTAGTTTGTCTGTTGTGGACTGTGCTGCTACAAACATGGACGTGCCTGTGTCTTTTTTTGTGGATAGAACTGAGTTCTTCATTTACCTTATTTGATTTCTGAAAATAGTATGTTGTCTTCTTCAGTCCCTTTCCTTGTAAACTTGCTCTTTTATTAGTGCCTCATAACTGGTGTTTACTCCCTAAGACTAGATTTAGCTTTGGGGAGCAGAGCAGGTTTCTCATAAGCACCCAAGTTCTCATGCCTTTTGGAAGAGATAACAAAGCCTCAACCATATCCCCGCCCCGAGATATAGCACATCCTTACTGTGGCATCTGAGACCACTGTGAGGAAGGCTGGGAACTGGTTGGTTCTTCTACGAATCTGTTGGTATTTTAAAAACAGCTATTAAAGTACGGTAGTTACTTGATTTTCCCAAGTCTTTTTTTTTTTTTTTAATTGAGATTGAACTCGGGACTGTGCTACTTCTAGACTATGTCCCCAGCAGTTTTCATTTTGAGACAGGGTCTTGCTAAGTTGCCCAGCTGGGTTCAAACTTGAGATTTTTCTGCCTCAGCCTCCCAAGTAGCTGGGATTCAATTCTAATTCAATAATTTTTTTCAATTTATCACATTTTCTTCTGAAGTAAAGTTTAAAATCTTTTATTTATAGGAATATTCTTACACAAAAAATAAGAAACAGCCAGGCACAGTGGTGCATGCCTGTAATCCCAGCAGCTCAGGAAGCTGAGGCAGGAGGATCGTGAGTTCAAAGCCCGCCTCAGCAACAGTGAGGCACTAAGCAACTCAGTGAGACCCTGTCTCTCAATAAAATTTTAAAAAGGGCTGGAGACATGGCTCAGTGGTTGAGTTCCCCCAAGTTCAATCTCTGGTACCCCCCTCCCCCCAAAAGAAAGAAAGAAAGAAAATAAACAAATAGGTGAAATTGTTGTAAATGGTATTTTTGTGTGCATAGAATAATAAAATTTAAATTGAGAAGCTATAATGTTTTAGATTGAAATTTAAAGATTTTTTTCTTTTTTCTCTTCTTTCTGGTAGGTCTTATCCCACTGCTGGGGATTGATGTATGGGAGCATGCTTATTACCTTCAGTATAAAAATGTCAGACCTGATTATCTAAAAGCTATTTGGAATGTAATCAACTGGGAGAATGTAACTGAAAGATACATGGCATGCAAAAAGTAAAACATCATCATTATATTGAGTATGTTAAACTCCTTATGACTATTTTTGTAGTAGAGTACTGCAGTATACTAACAAGGCACTTGATTACAGCATTTATTGATATTGATGATATATGATGACATATGATGATTCATTGATGTTCACATATTTGATAACAATAATTTAGTGCTAAGAATAATTTCCTATTTTAAAATTTTGTTATTAGGCAACTGTTTGAGAATCATTACTGCTCTGTATAATTTAATCTTAACTGAACATTTTTGTCAGAGAGCTAAACTTACTAGTGGTTTATAATTGTCATCAAAGAACAATAAAAAATATTCTGTCCTGTATTTGGGGGCTTGTGGGAAAGGCTTTGTAATTCTATTCTGTTGCACTTAGAGAAAAATGTAATCTTTTGCCCCAGTTGTCACAGTAAAATAGGAAACTATTTCTCTTTTGTTGAAAATTTTTCTTTTCGTTTATGCATAATGCTCTGTCTAGTGGTACTTCTGATGGCTGTCACCCAATGATATGGTGATGGTCTGTGATCACATGTATAAATAGCTACCATCATCTTGTCATTTAAAAACCATATGACTTACTGCTGATTGAAAGCTGCTTTATTATAAGAAGATAATTATGCATCTGGATTTACAAAAGACTGATGTAAAATTTTGTTCTTGAACACAGAAGTATATATTTATAAAAGTGCTGTAGGTGGGCACATCGGGGCCTGGTTGGCACTGCCGAAAGTGGGGACCTCAGGGTGAGGCCATGGGCATTCTGGGGCACTCCCCATCTCTCCATCCTGTTGAAGGGCCTCCCTCTCCTGAGAGCTGTGCTGGCCACAAGCCACCTTCCCTAGTCAGGCAAATGGACTTCTGCCTGGCATCAGCACTGTGTCCCCTCAGATGATTTCTTTCCAAAGACATGCTTTATATTTCTGTTTTCTTCTAAAGAATGTATAGCCACTCCAAAACCTTTATATCATTTTTCAACAAAGGGAAAACTCCCCATGATCAGTGACACAGCATTTCAGCTCACGTTCCAGGTAGTTCTGCGCAGGAGCACCATATACCTGCTGTTCACACGTCAGGCAGGCATTCTGCTGGTATCTGCGTGGCCATGTCACAGGTCCCCTATCTTTCATCATCTTCTTCATTATCTTTGATGGCTATATGGCTTTTATCAATTGGGCATTTCTTAATTTATTTCACAGTTTTATTATTGAATATTTCATTTCTTCTGTTATTTATTATCCATTTTGCTCTTGTGAGTATCCCAATCTCTTATTGGGATGTTTTCTTTATATGTAGGTTTTTTTCTTAACCTATTTAGTAATGTTTTCCCAAGGTCATTTTTAAACATTTTCCCCCCAACTTAATTTTTTAATTTCTTTTCATGGAAAAATGGAGTAACTTAGCAATTTCAATATTGAAGACTGAAGTTTGAAAAAAAAAAAACACCTTAAATTCAAGATACTTTTTCTTTACAGTTCAGTTAGAAAAGTATTTAGCTTTCTGAATGTCAACAGTGTTGACTATTGATAAGGGTGTATGTGTGTGCGTGCGTGGATTGAAACACTCTAGAGATTGATTGCTGTCCTTTATATCACAGGGACATGATTCTCATAGAGTGCAAATGGGGGCCATGTGGTTACCGCTGGCCTCTAATAGACCTTAGAGGAAAGTGGGACTTTCTGAGAGATGGGCTTTGGAATGCACATCATCTGCATTTGGAATGCACATCATCTGTTTAACTTGAGCTACAAAGATTTGCAGAATCTACTGACACATAAAGCTTTGACTCTTAAGCTTCCAGATTTTAAAACAATTCAATGTTGAAATTTCTACGGGGCTCTATTTTTGCTCTGGCTTTCCTGTTGATGAGAATGAGGGCAGTACAAGTTCCCTCCTGTTTGTGCTCCTCCATGCTGGATGGAGGTTAGGAGACCAAGAGGATCTATGTACTCACTACTTGAATAGCCAGCAGAAGATGATGTTAACACTGTTTAACTCTCTTTTCCATAATAGAAAAGAAAAACAAGTAAAATTTCCATTTTTCTTTTGAAAAGAACAAATATTGTTCGTGCAAGGATTTTTGTGACCAGATCAGCATTGCCTGCCACAGACTTAATTGTGCTGGAGGGAAACAAGCAAGTGATACAGATATTTTCTTTTGAATTTGTTGCTTAAACTGTTGCATAGTAATTAAATTTTGATGTTAAGAAATTGCTGTATCATGTCCCTCAATTTCATGGCCTTAAAATGAGATTTGAATTTGTGTTGAGCACCTTTAAAAAAGTAATAAAAAAACTATAAAATGAAGATTGATATGTGTTGTGAGTCATATCTGAAACTGGGTATAGATATATTTTATTTTCTATTTTAATTTCAAGGGAATTACTTTTTGGGGAAACCGTTAGGAAAATGATAAATTACTGTTCCTCTTTTTTAGTCCTATGTTGCTGCTCCCAGCAAGCTGAGGTCCTGTCCTCTGAGATATGCACCAGACCCACTACCTGCTGGGTACTGGGTTTTCACCTTGTAAGGTCCAGGAGTTTTCATTTAATTCATTAAAGAAACATTGATTTTCCTATTGCAGTTGTGTAGTTTTCTGATTGTTAATAAAAGAATCTGTCAATTCTTCAAAGAGGTCTACATAATGCATATGTGTTACAAATGTTAATGATCCTTTAATGTTCTATCATTTTCACTGCTTTTCTGTGAAAAAGGAATACCAAATGAGAGTTAGTTGAAATTTTACTCTTAAAACCCAGAGGCACTGAGAATGGTGGTTCACACCTGTAATCCCACTGGCTCGGGAGGCTGAGGCAGGAGTATCATGAGTTCAAAGCCAGCCTCAGCAAGACCCTAACCAACTCTGTGAGACCCTGTCTCTAATTAAAATATAAAAAAGGGCTGGGGATGTGGCTCAGTGGTTAAGTGCCCCTGGGTTCAATTCCTGGTACCAAAAAAAAAAAAAGATCTGGGTTCATGGTGGTGGTACACATCTGTCAATCCAGCAACCCAGCTGGAGGCTAAGGAAGGAAGATCTCAACTTAGACCCTGTCTCAAAATAAAAAGGGCTGGAGATGTAGCTGAGGGGTACTGCACTTGCCAAGCATGCATGAGGTCTTAGGTTCCATCCCCAGCAACACACACACACACCAAACAAAAAAAAAAAAAGGGCAAAGAAATCCTTGGCACCCAGTGGTTGGTAGCAGGGAAGTTTGCTGCTTAAGCAAAAATAAACCTTTCTTTTTGTAACCTCCCCAGTTGTGGTGTTGCTGTAAGCAAGAGAAAACAGATACATACATATGAGACTAGCTGGGGCGGACCAAGGGCTTTGCTCACGGTTCTGGAGGTGCAAGGTTCAGGGGCTGCGTCTGGTGATGGCCTTCTTGCTGGCATGGTCAAGGGGAGTGTGCATGTCTGTGTGGTCTCCCCCTTCTTAACAGCTGCCAGGATTCCAGCACAGGGGCTCCACCTTAGTGACCTTATCTAATGCTGACCACCCCGAGGCCCCGCCTCTCGACATAACTCAGATTGTAACCACCCTCTTAACACTTCCAGCACATGGGCCCTTGGGGGACACTCAGGTCATATCCGAACCCACTTCTAAAATTCTTTTTTCAACATAATTCTCAAGATCAATGTCTGCATCTCTGCTTTCTTACCCTAGCAACTGCATAGCTCTTTCAAGCCACTGCAAACTGTAGGTTCATGAGGAAGGCCACATCTTATTAATCTTTGTTTCTGGACTGAGTTTTTAAATCTTTGTTGCTCAAGTTTGTTTTTTTTGAATCATGATCTCCACTGCTTAGAATTAGAAGCACTAAGTTTTTTCAGCTTTTGAGTTCTGCCTAATACAGCTCCCTACGGAATCTTTGAGGAACAAATTCTTCTCACTCCATCAGGGCTTGGTGAGGCTGTGTGGCCCTGTGCTTGGCTCTCCCTTCTCCTAGTTTGACCCACAGGGTCAGCTCACCACACAGACTAGTCAAGTTCTCTATTTTCTTGGATGCTTGCAAAGTCCAGGAGTGGGCTTATGACTCAAATTGGGTCAAAGAAAATCTTCTCTAGCCACATCATCCATTTCCCCTTCCCTTGGGGTCCTGTACTTAGGGCCTATGAGATCGTGTCCCTTTATTGGTTACTGTGGATACATTTGTTGCAAAATTAAGACCAGAAAAGGAGGAGAGAAGAGCTGAGTGACCTAGAGCAGCAGAGCACACTCCACTGTGTACGTCTGTGTCTGGCACTGCCTGGAGCCAGTGCTTGGGTTCACTCCCTGTATGAGCCAAAAGTTTCTTGAAATGGTTGTATTCAATTTTTGATTCATTTTTGGTTGTGTTGCTTAAGTTAATTGAGTTGGATTTTCATCCTTGTGATAGAGAGTGCTGACACTGCCCAGTGCACTTCTGCCTCAGCCTGCTGTGTGGACGCAGTGCCTGCCTGCTCCCTCTGCTCTCCTGCAGCACAGGAGGCACCAGGTTCCAGGTCACTCTTGGTTCTTTTGTACCTTTGGGTCCTCACACTTGCTGTTCTCTCATCTGAGATCTGAGTCCTCTCTCTTACAGGGCCATGCCTCCTCTAGAAACCTCCCCTGGCCATCTTACTTAACCTATTTCCTTCAGGGAGATTCTGTAAATATCTTGGTTATTTATGCCTTTACCTGTTTATCGTCTGCATCTTCCCATTCCAACATAACTGCCTGGTTTCTGTTCTCGCGACTAAAAGGCTCAGGGGGTCACTCCAGTTAAACTGGGCTAACTGGGCTGCGCAAGATAACACACAAGAGACACAAATACCTTTTACTTTGGGGTCGCTGTGACGGCTCCTCTGACCTTAAGGGTCTGCAGGAAGAGGGAGCGAGAGCACGCGCTGACCCCTTTTATTGAGGAGAAGATATTCATATGAGGCAAGGGGTCAGGTTTCAGGGGGCTGAGTATCTTCATGATGTCCACTGTCAGCAGGTTGACTGACACCTGGGTAGGCCACACCCAAGGGCACAGTAAGAGAAGGGGACACACACAAGGTACTTCCATGGAAGATTCTATCCTAAACAGGGCAAGGGGACAGGTGAGTGTAGCTTCACCCATGGGGTTGTAGCACCCATGCACGAGACAGCGACCCTTGCACCCAAGTAGGGTGGGGAAAGCTCTGCCACATTTCTGCGACTTAGGGCCTCAGCACCAAGCAGGGGAGTGTGACTCAGTCACGTGTAAGGTTGGTCTCCCACACATAACCTTTAAGAAGGCAGGGGCTTTGGGGCACACCTGTTATCCCAGCTGCTTTGGAGACTGAGGCAGGAGGATTGCAAGTTTGAGGCCAGCCTGGGCAATTTAGAGCTTGTCTCAAACAAAACAAAATAGAAGGCAGGGACCTTGTGATACCTTTCTCGGCACTGTGTCTAATATATAACAGGTGCTCTGTAAAGAGCTCCCCTCTCCCCAGGGCAGGCCTGGGGCGATCCTAGCAATGCAGCTTGAAACCCTCAGACTAGAAGTTCCCATGGTTCCTGTTGGTTCCCAAGCCTTCTGAAGTAAACACATATCAAATATGGTATTCTGACTAATATCACATAGGTTGTCACGACAGGGACATGTAGCCATGTAGTTCAGAGGTGTGCATGTGTTCACGGGATATGTTTCCAATAGGAAGTCAGCCCTGCATCTTAGCTTAGGCTGCCTTAATGAAATGCAGGGGCTGAGTGGCTTAAATAACAGGTGTTTATTTTCTCATAGTTTGGAGGGTGGATGTCCAAGATCAAGGTTGAGTTAGGGTTTGAAGATATGAATTCCAGGAGTTACAATTCAGTCAATTGGAGTGTCTTGCCTTAATTAAGCCTCTTTTGGAGAAATATTCTCAGTATCCCAGGTGAGGGATGAATCAAATATTAGTCTAGACAAGTCAATTCCAAATGATGCAAGAAATATGGAAAAAGAATAAGTTTCAATAGTATGTATCTTTGATATTAAGCCAAATGTATAAAATGTATAAAACCTATACATAATGCTTGTTCTCACAGAATTTTAACATGGAGAATTTCTAGTCTTTTGAGGTCATAATCTAAGTACAAGCTTTACTTATTTTCCTGGTTTTAAAGACTGAATATAAGATTTCTTGCATATTTCCTGGCTATAGAGGTAGGAAATAGATGAAATCAATACTTTGATTTTGTTTTAATTGAATACATGTAAGAAGTCCCATTTTTGTTTATTTCTTTTTTAAAATATTTTTTTTAGTTGTAGATGGACACAATATCTTTATTTATTTATATGTGGTGCTGAGGATCAAACTCAGTGCCTCACATGTGCAAGGTGCTCTACCACTGAGCTATAGCCCCTGCCCCCCTTTTTATTTTTGAAAAGTCAAAATTTGATTATGTCTGTGTAGTTTTGCCTTTATCAGAATGTCATACATGTGGAATCAGACTGGCTTCCTTCACATTACATAAATGTAATGCACATTTAAGTTTCCTTCATCATTTTTCATGTCACATTTCTTTTTATCCCTGAATAATATATTCCTCAGTCTGGATGTACATACTACAACTTATTTATCGGACACCTGTTGAAGGGCATCTGTTTGTTTCCAGCTTTTGGCAATTAGGAATGAAGTTGCTATAACATCCTGGTGCAGATGTTTTGCTGTATATAGATTTTCAATTCATTTGGGTAAATGCTAAGGAGCATGATTATTGGGTATTATGTTTAATTTTCTAGAATATAGTTTAAAAAGTTGATAAACATATTTTAAACAGTGAAATGTTCACCTCAGAGGCTTAGTGGTAGAGTATTGGCCAAGCAAGAATGAGGCCCTGGGTTCCATCCCTAGCACTGCAAAAGAAAAAAAAAAAAAAAAGTGACTTTCAGTCCTCAGGCATGTTGTGTTCTACACAGGACCAGTATTGGGCGGAACCCATCCTTCTCCCACCCTGGCACAGAGCTGTGCCTGCTCAGCAGAAGGGGATGTGGGCCCTCTCCCAGTTCCCATAAAGTCGTCTGTGAGTCAGGTTAGCTCTTTGCAGTCTTGAGTCCTGGCCTGCTGCCCCTTTCTTAGGACTGCTTCTCCCATTTCTTCACTTTTCTAGACAATTCATCTTCTCCAAGGCTGCTGGAATTGAGGTGGGGGGTGGGAAATTATTTGGTTTGTTTATGGCCCTCCAAATGAATTCCTTCTCTCACCTTCCCCACTCCTGAGCATGTCACTGGGCTCATCTGATAATCAAAGGCCCTCTGCCACCTATTCTGCGTCTCAGATTTTATTCTTTGGCATGCCTCAAGGTGGAAAGGCCTGTTTCTCTTGCTCTCCTACAACCT